GTTTGGAGATTGAATTTTCAGATGGATCTCCGCACCAGTATGGCTGACACTTCCCACCATTTGCTCCCTTGTTCGAATCTAGCTCGCCCTGATTGACATCTTTAAAGCAATTTCTCTGGTCTTTTCAGACTGCTGGTGCTGTAGCCTGTACCTTCCAGATTGAATCTTTGACCTTTCTCCGTTGAGTCAGCCTGTAGTTAATGTTCTCTTTCTAAAGGCAAACCTTTCCAAAATTGCTTTATAATTTTAAAGTGGAAATGAATTCGCTCTAAATTGGCTCTCCTTCAGGTCACATTAGTTAAATAAAGAGGCAGGTAAAATGAGTTACATCAGGGAGAGAAATTAATGGTGGAATGTGGCAAAAATGGTAAAAAAAAGGGAATGAAAAAATCCCCTTGCACAATTTACCCAAATTGTTACCTCTGTTCTGATGAAGAGTGGTCATTTGTTGCATTTCACTTTGCAACATGCAAGTGTACATTAATATATTGATTTATCTGTGAAACTGCAGAGTTTTGTTGATTATGCACAATCTGGACTGAATTCTCTCATTATAAAATAAATAATGCTAAATGTATGTGCTAAAACCATGTGAAAACTTCATTTTGCGATTTATAATGGTATCAAGTTTTGCATAACATGCACTGAGTTATGTAATGAAACAACATGGTTGTGTATTTTTATGTGTATTTATGTGTTTATAATTTAATAATCATTATGAAATATGTTTTTTTTACATTTAACATGTAAATATTTTATGTAAAATGCAGCCCATATACACTAAGAAATCCGTATACACATTTACATACAGTTGAAGTCAGAATTATTAACTCCTCTAATGATTTTTCCCCCAAATTCTGTTTAACAGAGAGATGTTTTTCAACATATTTCTAAACACAATAGTTTTAATAACTTGTTTTTAATGACTCATTTATTTTATCTTTGCCATGATGACAGTAAATAATATTTGACTAGATATTTTTCAAGACACTTCTATACAGTTTAAAGTGACATTTAAAGGCTTAACTAGGTTAATTAGGTTAACTAGGCAGGTTAGGGTAATTAGACAAGTTATTGTGTAACGATGGTTTGTTCTGTAGACTATCGAAACAAAATATAGCTTAAAGGGGCTAATAATTATGACCTTAAAATGGTATTTTAAAAAATGTAACTGCTTTTATTCTAGCCAAAATAAAACAAATAAGACTTTCTCCAGAAGAAAAAATATTATCGGACATACTGTGAAAATTTCCTTGCTCTGTTAAACATCATTTGGGAAATATAAAAAATAAATAAATAAATAAAGGGGGTTATAATTCTGACCTCAACTGTATATATAGTTTAATTTGATGTACTATAACTGAAAAAAAATCAACAAGATTTAAAACAATTGGAGACAATGTATGTTTTGGAAAAAAGGTCACACTTTACAATAAGGTTTTATTAGTTAATGTTAGTTATTGTATTTACTAGCATGAACTAATAATAAACTATACTTGTAGATTTATTTATTAATCAGTTCAACAGTAATGAATGCATTATTAACATCCACATTCATGCTTGTTAAGATTAGCTAATGCACCATGAGCTAACATGAACTAAGAACAAACAACTGCATTTTCATCAACTAACATGAACAAGTACCATAATAAATGTATTGTTCATTTTTATTCATGTTAGTAAATGCATTAACTAACATTAACTAATACAACCTGATTGTAAAGTGTCAAGGAAAAAAGAGGTTTGAACTATCCCTTTGACTAAGAAAAAAAATGTATTAAAACAGATAATACCATTTTAAAGATACTAAAAATATACCCTGACTTTTGGTGTAGAAACAATTTGTCACTTAGGCTGACTCAGTACATCATATTACACAGCAAACCTCCCAGGTAATCAAGCTGTTCTGTCAAATGGAGCTCGTCTTATTGCAGGGTTATTCTCTGGCCATAACAACCACAGAAAACCTCTGGGACCATCTGTCCGAAACATGCTCAGCATCTAAATGCTTTGAGCCTATAGTACAGACAGACCTCTATAGGCCAGGACAGGACAATTCCCCATCACTGGCAGACTGTAAATGATTAAGCCGCAACTCCATCTGAGAGGTATATTAGGTTAGAAAAAAAGTGAGCAGGATTAACTAAAGAATTAATTCTTCTCATTCGAAATGAAAAAGACACGACCTTCCAGGTTGTCTGTGACGCACAAAGCGAACATGAATCACAATGAGCTTCGACTGAGAGAAAAAAATGCTCTATTTTGTCATTCAAGAAGTTTGATATAACACCTTCAGATGCTCTTGGTAAGCTCGAGACCATATGAATATGTCATTTTGCACTTACATCTGTCCCTCTTGTGTACCACTATCCAACTAGAGCTGCTAAAAGGTCTATTTCACACTGACGTAATGGATCTCTTCCAGATCCTGGAAAGCTGACATTTTGGGACAGTTATGACTGGGTATATAGTACATTGTGGTATACATGATAAAATTGTGAAGTTTCACAAACTAATGTCGAGAAGAGGAGGTGATATTAATGATCGCAGCTAGTCTCTCATCTGTAATTATTAGTTAGCCAATCGGACCATTCCAAACTCTAAAAACTTGTTAGCCTGACTAACATTACTCCCTCATTTTCGTTTTTTGGAAGAATTCCTCCATCCCCCCCCCCCCTTCTCCTACTTTGCTCCTTTACCAGGGGGAGCTTTAGAGAACTTCCTGATCTCATAACCCCTAACATGCTCATTGACCAGGCGGGAGCCCTGGGCTCAATTATCTCTGAGCTCAGGGTTCTCTCCAGGGACAGCATACCAAACCTGCTATTATCAAGCAATATCTAAGTGTGAACTCTTGAAACAAAAGTGATTGTATTTGCTTATAATGCATTGAAATGTCGATATTAATCTTTCAAAAACACTGTAAATAAGTAGCTGCTGCCTTTAATTGTTTTAAGTTCAGTTAAATCGACTTTACAAGTCATTTAAACTTGTTTTGCATTGCACTTGAAACTTAAATTGCACCATAAAAATTAGAAGCAAGAACAATTTATTTTAATAATTTAAAGTAACAGAAAAATATATGATTTCATTATTAAGCATATTATTTTTAGAGTAACTTGAAAGTGAAATAATACCTATTACATTAAAAAATATGGGTAAAATGTAAAATTTTCCTTTTGCATAAACGATATCCATGTAAAGATAAAGTGAAGTGATATGAAACAATGAGTATGCTTACATGGACAACAATAATCCGATTTTAATGCGATTAAGACAATACTCTGATTAAGAGTCTACCATGTAAACAGCGATTTTTAATTAATTTAATCCAATTAAGGTCATAATCAAACTAAACAGAAATCGAATTAAGACGTGTAGTATGCCGATTTTAGTTGCATTATTTAAGTGCAGTACAGACATGTAAACACCGTAATCAAACCATTACCTTCATGTAAGATTTTCAGGATAGTCTATACACACACACGGCTGTTTGACACTATTCTCTGCACCTACCGAGGCAGTAAAGAACCACAGACACCTGCATTGCGAAATGCAGAGTTTTTTTCGGACTCAAATGCGCACTCAAATTCCATTGAAACTACACTCTTCCAGCAGTTCCTTGCATCTAATATCTCATTTGTCATTGGAGCCTTGCATGAAATGTTCCTTAATGAAAATGAAAGTGCCAAACTGCAGTTGAAGTCGACAAAATAAAAATGAAACGCTCGAAATTACATGACACTCCAAAGGAAATGTGGATAGCGCAGTGGCACAATGACGTTAATCGAATGATGTGCTATAACATGTCAAACGAAACATTCAAAAAGTATCTCACGTAAACACCCTAATCATATTATTGTCTTATTCAGATTAAGGCAAATATTTTGATTACTTATGTCCATGTAAACGTAGTCACTGAAAACACACTTTTAAGCCTGCACCTTATAAATTATACACAATAATAAGTGATCAAAATTTAATTTATTTTTAATTATTAAAATGGGGTAAAATCTAATGGTGTGAAGAATAGGGGCAATGCTTACAGTTAAACAAAAAAACACTGGCTCTAAATTAATAAACAATTAAGGAATATGGAATATGGAATAAACTCCTAATTTGCTGCATATCAATAGTTATTAAGGTAGTGGTCATGTTTAGGTATTGTGTAGGGATACAAAATAAGATCATGCAAAATATTGCCAAACATTTAATTATATTGGTGCACTGTGATTGTTAAATAGTCTTTTTCATATGTCATAAAATAATATTTGTTATATTTGTCTCTGTGTTGTTAATATATGTGACAAGAGTTTTACATAAATAAACTATCATTAATGACATTTCATGGTTTTCATTAAGGATTTTTATGGCTTGACTGCATAAAAATGGAAGCTTTAGAGTTAAAACTCACTCATACTTCACTGCTGGGAGAGAAAAGAGCAGCTTAATCCAAATCTAAAACTTATTTTTTGTGGTTTTAGTTTGGTCAGGATGCTCTGTGGTTGCTTTTGATTCTAAATCTATAAGCCCAGCAAGCTTTCTTGGTTTAAGATTGTTCTACAGAGTGTTTTCTTGGTTCCAAAATTGTCATAGTTATATACGCACTATTATTTACTCTAATACTACGGTCTACATAGCGCTGTTGAAAATGTGAATCTCTTTTGTCAGTCATTCAGATTGGCATTGTTTGCAGTGTCATCATGTCATTCTGCAAGCCGGAAAAATGTAAAATAGACAACAAAAACCATCACTTTCGACTAGACTGGAATGACAAGTACTTGTTCAACCAACTAGTTCTCCAGCAACCATATAAAGAAGCAGTGCTTGACACAAAACTCTTGCTGTGTCATCAGATTTACTCTCTCCAGTTTTAAAAACTCCTTTGTTATCAAGGCGGAACCTTTAAAGCAGTTTACTTAAGAAAAAAAAACTAAGAATGACTCACAGTTGGATGAAGAATATTAAATAAATCTGATTGTTCTCTTGTCTCTCCGCAGCTCCTTCCAGTAGGAAGCCCGGAGATGCACTCATCATCTCTGACATAAAGAAAGGCAGCGTGGCACACAGGTACCGCCTCACGTCACAGTCTCACACTATGTCTGCTTTTACGTTCAGAAATTCTAATCTTATGCAAAACATCTCAAATACAGCCTCCAGCGCATTAACTCCCACCAGCATCTTACGCTTTGATACACTGTAAAAAGAGATTTTGTTTTTATATCCGAGTTGCAGCATGTTTCATTCAGTATAGCATGCTTTAAAAACATAGTGACCATGATTAAAACATGTCCTCCATCAGTCTGACCCAGCATGGCATTTATAGTAAATAAATTAAATGCATGAATAAATCAAATGCAAGATTTTTTTAGAGAATTTTGCACTTGTTTTGAGTTGAGTTGACATCATATGATTTTCTATTTGCCTTTTTTTCCTTCAACATTCTAGGTTTATACAGTAACTGACATTTCAGCCTACTTGTAACTGAGTTTGCAACAATTTTAAGTTATTAGATAGTTTTTTTTTTTTTCAGAATTTTAAGTTTGCATTTCACAGTTATCACATACACCACACTTCTAAAAACCAAGAAAAAATAAACTTGAATGGTTGGAAATGTTTGAGCTTTTAAATGTGTAATTGTGAGAAATATAGTTTCAAATCTGAGGAAAAAAGGTCCGACCTTCAAGATACAACTGGGTTTTTGTCTCTCAATTCAATATTTTCCTCCCCAAGCTGTTAAAAAATTAAATTACCTAAGATCTGCAAGAATGAATTCTGAAATAAAAAGCAAATTACACTGTAAAAATATCTGTAAATTAGCATTTTTTTGTATTTTGTGTTTCATGTTTTTATTTTTCCCCACTTATTTATGCATTTAAATCACATTATGAGACCTTGATAATTTTTTGGACAACTTTTAACCTTAAAGTTCGAAAAAGTGACTTTTATTAACATATTTAATAGTTTAAAGTGATATATTTTCTGGGTTGGTGTTGTAAATCACGGTACAAAATACTTGTATCGAGCCAGTACATTTTATGTTATTTTACAGATTTATTTCCCTATATATCATGTCTTAAACATTGTTATTTCTATTCAAATTACTAAAATGTCAATAAAAGTCACTTTGTTTAACTGTAGAGTTGAATTTTTAACATCAAAAGCAAATATCAAGGTTCCATAATTCTATTTACTACTGTTAATGTGGAAAACACAAAGTACGGAAACTGAATATAAATATATATATATATATATATATATATATATATATATATATATATATATATATATATATATATATATATATATATATATATATATATATATATATACACTTGAAGTCAGAATTGTTAGCCTCCCTGTTAATTTTTTTTTTTTTTACCAATTGCTGTTTAACAGAGATTTTTTTCAACACATTTGTAATCATAATAGTTTTAATAACTCATTTCTATTAACTGATTTATTTGATCTGTGCGATGAGGAAAGTACATAATAGTTTACTAGATATTTTCAAGACACTTCTATACAGCTTAAAGTGACATTTAAAGGCTTAACTAGGTTAATTAGGTTAATTAGGCAGGTTAAAGTAAATAGGCAAGTTATTGTATAACTATGGTTTGTTCTGTAGACTATTGAAAAAAATATAATAGGACTAATAATTTTGTCCTTAAAATGGTGTTTAAAAAGTTAAAAACATTTATTCTAGCCAAAATAAAACAAATAAGACTTTCTCCAGAAGAACAGATATTAGCAGACATACTGTAAAAATTTCCTTGCTCTGTTAATCACCATTTGGGGAATATTTAAAAACGAAAAAAATTCAAAGGGGGGCTAATAATTGATCTCAACTATATATCATTACTCATTCTGCAATCTGCCATATTAGAAATATTAATCACCTTCGTTTCTGTCTTCAGTGAAGACTACCTCTCTTTTTGTGAATGCTCTTCTTGACTATATATATATATATATATATATATATATATATATATATATATATATATATATATATATACATTGACATTATTAAATATATATATTTCAATTTCAATGCTGGAAAAAAAGCTTACATCAACTGGTCCATTAACATAAATCTGAGCATAAGATGTTTGAACCCTTATTCATCAAGTATACATTGCATTAATCAAATGCAATGTCTAATGTTATATTTCAGAAAAAAAATGATAAAAAATGCTGTCCTTTTGATCTTTATTTATCAAATAAAAGAAGTATTATAGCTTTCATCAAAGTATTAACCTATGGAACATTTTTGCTTATGTCTCTCTAAAAAGCAATATAGTCTGTAAAGAATAACATAATACAATAGTGTCCTATTTAATTACAGTAATTGTTATTAATACAAGAACCGAAGAGAAAACTGCAATGAATCATTTCATAAACAAATTGATTTCCTCAGAACTTTGTAATCAAATTGTGAATTAAGTGGTGCTTTATCAAGCAGACGAACTACTTTCAGCATTAATAATAAAAAATATTTCTGGAGCACAAAGCTTTCTGAAGGATCATCACGTTAACACTATAGTAATGATGTTGAAAGTTGCAAATAAGCACTGCATTTCTGAACTCTCATCCAAATCAGCACTTCATCCTGTCCTTAAATAGCTCTGACTTAACCCAAATGGCTAATGTAATGACATCTGCGCACAGCATTGAGCATGACTATGAGCGTATGCTATCTGCATCGGCCTGCAAAAGCATTCTTATATGTACATAAATGTAAATTTTCTCCAGGCTTCAGATTGAATGCGGCTAGGAGAAAGTGAATCCTGCCGTATTGGCATAAATCTCAACGGTTGCCCTGAGGAAAGGTGTAGAGTGCTGCTTGACTGCATTATTGTTGATCGTGAGGTCTATCCGGGGCTGTTTGCAATAAAATCTAATCTTGCTGTACTCCTCTAAAAAATGTACTAACTTGGATTTCTGTTTTTAAAAATAACTTTAGGCTCCAGGTAAAGCACTGATTCAATCTATAACAAATCTTTGCATTTGTTTGTTAAAAATACCATAAAAATAGTAACAGTGAAACATCATTAAAATAATATATTCATTTTTATTAGATGTTTAAATATTATTTATTCCCGTGAGAGTAAAGCTGGATGTTTGACAGCAGTTATTTTAGATCCTTCAGAAAACATCCAAACATGCTCATTTGGTGCTTAAAAGACTCTTTTTTATTAGTATTATCGATGCTGAAAACTGTTGTTATGCTTGTTTTTGTGTAGAATATGTTTCTTTGGGGATAAAATATTTAAACTTATATAAAGTCATAATTACCATTTTATTTATTTATTATTTTTATTGTATTTATTTGTTTATTTTTATTTATTTAATGTTATTTTTTTATTTAATTAAATTTTACTTTTATTTTATTTTATTCTTATTTATTTTTTTATTTTATTTTTGGCACCAAAAACTTACGGAGACCCAGAAGGAATGTGATGTTGGGGAAGAAAAAAAAACTGGGTGATAGGATGCGTTTCGATGCGTTCCCTCACAAAACTGTTGTTCCACAAACACTTCCTGTTCACCTTATACATGTCAATCCTTCCGCTTTTGCCTGTCCTGCACTTTAGCACTTTTTTTGTACAGAAGCTGGTCTGGCATCAGTTTGTCATACGGAGCGAGTCCGTCAGTCACCGCTCATACATGCATTCGCTGATTCAGAGGTATCATAGTAAGGGTGATGATCGACACAGAGCTGTAATGAATAGAAATTGATTGCAGACATATTTATAATAATTTCAACCTGCTTTCAGGATTAAAAATGTGGGACAAATTTGGGAAAATACTTAATGATTGGATGAGAGCGGAACAGAATGGTAAAATACAGGAGAATCCCAGCAAAAGGCAGCACAGTGGCGCAGTGGGTAGCACAATTGCCTCACAGCAAGAGGGTCTCTGGTTCGAGTTCCGGCTAGGTCAGTTGGCATTTCTGTGTAGAGTTTGCATGTTCTCCCCATGTTCGCTTGGGTTTCCTCTGGGTGCTCTGGTTTCCCCCACAAGTCCAAAGACATGTGGTATAGATGAATTGGGTAAGCTAAATTGTCCATAGAGTATGCGTGTGAATGCAAGAGTGTATGGGTGTTTCCCAGTGTTGGGTTGCGGCTGGAAGAGCATCGGCTGCGTAAAACATATGCTGGATAAGTTGGCGGCTCATTCCACTGTGCGACACCCGATTAATAAAGGCGCTAAGCCGAAAAGAAAAATGAATGAAGCCAGGCAAAAATGGAAAGGTTGTTATGTATGAAGTGAACAGGAACAACTGTCAAACAACAGTTTTACAAGGGAAAGTAAAACATCTTTGCTTTCCTTCGCAAAACATATTTGCGAGATAACGCAAAAACTCAAAATATATATGATGAGTTCAGATGCAAAAACCTCTAAAAGCAGTTTAAAATTTCCTTCAAAAATGAGCATTTTTATCAGGCTCCTGTGTGCAGGTTCAATAATTTCACGTTTATGGCCAAGAATACACTCTTTTAAAGGTCTTTAACATGAAATAACTCAACATAAACATAGGAGTCTGAGAAAAATGATCACTTTTGCATCTGAACTCTTCATATACATCTTCCTATCATTCAGTTTTTTTTCTTAAACCCATCTCTTTTCCTTACATCACATTTATTCCGGGTCATCACACAAACTGACTTTAAAACTCCATAACGAATTTAAAGTAAATGTTGTAAACCTTGCTTTACAGGATCTCAAGTTTTGTGTCTAGCAATTACAAGTTATAAACTCGAATCTCAAAATTCTCTAAATACTTTTGTTTTCCCCATATCAGAGACAAGCTTCCATACTGTTCTTCTTCTTCTTCTTTGGCCTTTGTCCCGTATTGTTGCGGGGTCAACTCTTTGGAACAAGCCATTTTAGACTTGTCCATATGATAACTACTTTTTTTTTATACATTCCAGCCGGCCTGTCGTCTGGGCCTGTCACCCTCATACACTCATACACTACGGACAATTTAGCCTACCCAATTTACCTGTACCGCATGTCTTTCGACTGTGGGGTAATCCGGAGCACCCGGAGAAAACCCACGCGAACGCAGGGAGAACATGCAAACTCCTCACAGAAATGCCAACTGAGCCAAGGTTCAAACCAGCAACCCAGTGACCTTCTTGCTGTGAGGCGACAGCACTGTTTGCCCACAAGCTTCCATACTGTTGCTCAATTGCATCTGTTCTTTATGAATACAATTATAAATCTCTTTCAGGAGATACACCATTCAAACTTTTGCACAGTAGTAAACTTCAACTCAACTCAAATTTCTAAAAAAGGCTAAAAAAAACTAGGGGGAAAAAAAGACTAATTCTCCATGGTAATAGTTGGGAAAAGCTGTAAACAAAGTAATTACCATCCTTTCAGCACACAAACTCTAATTTCCCATGCTTTTACATAATAGACCATATGTTTACCTGATAATTATGCATGGAGCAGAGAAAGAACTGCGTTATGAGCAAGTATGTACGCGGTGGAGTGCTAAAATACATGTCTTTTTTCCTCTATGCTCATATTAGATGACCTTGGCTCATAATATCTTTCATATCTCTGCTCTCCTCCATTTCAGCTCTATTAAAAAGGCCTTAATAAGTGAGCCATTTAATATGAAGAAGTGGTGGAATAATTGTGAATTCAGGCAGGATTACATCTCGGTGTCTAATCTGAATACGCAACGACACTCAATTATGACCCATACGATAAAGAGTCAGGAGTTTTCTATGCTCGGGATCTACCTCCGCCTGCTCTTTACCATACGCCACGGTCAATACGCTGAATAATGGATGTGTTTTCCAGCAGAATGTGAGCTCGGACTACAACGGAATGAGTGTAAATGTCTGCACGAGGGAGAAAATAACCTTTCCCTCAAAGCGCTGCGAGACGAAATGGAGATGTGCTGTGTTGGCTGAGGAAATGTTGCTATAAAAAATCAGCACAAAAAGATTGTAATGGTTTTCCATGTGCTTTCTTAAAGGACGGGCACGCTAGAGCTGGGGGATAAGCTTCTGGCAATCGACAATATCCGTCTGGACAACTGCTCCATGGAGGACGCCGTTCAGATCCTGCAGCAGTGTGAAGACCTGGTTAAACTAAAGATCCGCAAGGACGAGGACAACTCAGGTACCTCTGAGTCTCTGCAGATGCACAATCCACACAAAATGAACACTAAAGAAAAACCCCGTACGAGGGCAGATTAGACCTCTAATGTTTGTTTGGCAGGATCAAGATAAAGAATAAGCTATTAGGACCTGATTAATTAGCTTACTCTAAAATAATCGGGTTTTATACTGATATGGCAAGGACGGAAAAAGGACAAGATGAGAGCAAACAAGGCAATATTATTAGCTATGAATAACTTAAAGACAGAAATAACTTTCACCTCATATGGGTATATTTTCCCTTAGCTATATATATTGTCATACCACTTCGAAAGTCTCAGTTTCTCTGGATTTACTGGGTTTGTTAAGTATGTGTTTGAGAATATTGGTTGATAGAATATTGAGAATATGATTGATAATTAGGGTTAATACACCAAATATTGCTTTCTTAGGATAAAACATTGGCATTGTGTTGCCCTGTAATTAGTATTAAAGGTCACACTTTCTTTTGATGGTCTGTTTGTTTCATTGCATCTACATGCCAACTAATTCTCATTAGATTATAAGACTGTTAGGTTTAGGTTAAGGTTGGTGAAGGTTGACATGTACTTGCAAACTTTCTTATAGTCAGTTAAATGTCTGTTAAAGGAGCAGTACCAACAGATATTAAGCAGACAGTCTACTAATACTCAAATGAACCATCAAAATAAAGTGTTAAAGTCTAAAAATAAGGCACATTTTTATTTTAAGCCAAAATATTTAAGCATAAATGTACAAAGTTTTGCGCAAACATAGCTATAAAACAGAAATCTAGAGAAACGGAACAACTTCAAGTGATTTATTAAATATTATATTAAAATTGTATATTAAATATTTGCTTCAGTGTAATGTACTGATAAAATAACAGAAAACAGGACAATTAATCTATCTAACTTCCATTTTTTGCAGCTTAATTTTAAACTAGAGATGGCAGAGAGATAGTCAGTGTTTTTTAGATTCATGTTTGCAAATTAAGAGGGAAAGATGGATTGGGAAATTAGTTTAATGACACGCTTTTTAAAGAACGTAATGGAGAGTTAAAAGCTAATTCAAATCAACCTTTTTGCACCACATTGCTTAAAGGAAACAGTTTTAGTCATAAATAAATGACTAATTTAGAAAGATTGCTGATGGTCAAATTTAAAAATAAAAGCTTTATTTCACAGATACTCAGATCACATGGACAGCTAATGCCACTTGTGTATGGGTCAGTTCTGTATTTACAGACTTTGCAAATAAAGTAAATTAATCATAGCTTTTATTTGGCCAGAGGGAAAAATCATAAATATGTTTGACTTTTTAATATATTGCTAAGCTTTAGTGCCTAGTTATACCGCTGGATGACTTTATAAGACATTAAATTAGGATGTTCTCCGTGGAATTTTTGGTTTACAGGCATAGTTCAATCCAAACATAAAAATCTTGATATTATAAACTCAACATCCATTTTACGTTTGTAAAGAGGTCATATGATGTGCTTTAAGGTCAACATTTTGTCTATTTGGTGAATTACAAGAGATAAACATGCTTTATTATTTTAAAATAGATATTTGCTGCCTTCACAAGCACACAAATTGAGAAAAGTATAGAAAAATAATGAGAAAAAAATGTATGCATGAGCTTTCGGTTCTATTTATAGTCACTATTTATGGCATTATATCCTGTATTTCGTTTGTTTAGGCGTCTTTGGCTGATTTTGCATTTAAATTTTTGAACCACACCAAAATTCTGCCATTACATGCCAAAGGAAAACATTACAAAGCATTATATGTCCTCTTTAAATAAAACTAGCCTTGAATATTTCTCTGTGTTAAAGGACCTTCTGGTAAACCTTTCATTTTTGGAGAGCTCCAACAACATACACATCTCTCCTTGCTCCAGCAACCTCACAATTCATCCTTAACGCCATTAGTGTTGTGCACACGGAAGAAAATTAGGTTTAATTGCTCCAATTTAATGCTCGTTTAGTTCAATTATCAGATTAGAAACCTTTTATCCTTTGCAACGTGGTCCTCCACAAGGGCGTTATACACATAAAACAAAGCAGACCTGTTGGAAAAACTCACCATATTTCATCCAGGATGTCCATTGTGTCGCTAAAATGGCACCTTGTGTGTTTTAGTTGCTCGCCCAGAGCTGGAGGTTTATTTAGATCCTTTTCACCGAGAACATTAATTTTTTTTTACAAGCTCTTTTTTTAGAGCTGTGACAACAAATCATCAGTCTGAGAGAGGCCGCGCTGACTGTGTGCTAAATAGGGGTAATTTCCTTCCCATCTCTCCATTAGTCCATCATCGAAAAAAACAAAGGCGTAATGAGCCGACCTCATGTTAACGAACATCCCCAGACCCCCAACACACAAACACTGCAGCGATCTGACAGATGTCCTAAATTCATTAGTGTTTGGAATGCGAGTGAAAGCTGGATCTCACAGTTTTCGTCAATTTTTCTCTTACTTTTTAGCGGTACAGAAAGGCACAGGTTGACCTCTTAATTGATGTTGAGCATTATAAATCAGCAGCACGAATATTTTATAAGATACTTTTAAGTGGATTTCGGTATTGCGATGGTTGTATCTGTTTGCTGAGCGCATAGGAAATGAGCTCGCTCGTATGATTAATTTACATTATGATTCCTGTAGCTCAGCTGGTGGAGCAACTAGCATGAAAATCCCCCGAGGACACGCGTACTGATAGGATATACAGCATGAATGCACACTTGGGTAAAAAAAAAGAAAAGTAATTTCTGACATCTGACATTTAGTCTTTTGAAATGCATTGTGAGCAAGGCTTTGGGGGTTTAGCTCCTCTTTGGATGATAACGTGTGTGATTTGTAGAGGTAGGTGCAGGATCCATTTCTAAAATGGATCACAGAGCCAATATCCCATTTTTTTGGTATTATGCATGTGAATATCTCCATTTTGCCACTCCCTTGTATTTTCCTTTTTCTCATTTTTGGTTTATTTTTTTTTTCTGGATGCACCACTTCCATTATCTTGCATCATTCTTCTTTCAAATTGCCTTTACTTTATTTCCCATTTCTCTTGCCTCTCTATTACTCTCTTGTTTATTATATTTTGTGAGCATAATTAGTTGTTTTTGCTCTCTTTTTCTTGGGTTTTATAGGGTTGTCAGTCAATTAGCATTTTTAATGAAACTGATTACATGATGTGATTTTTTTTTATTATCAAGTTGAAATGAAACTATATAACATCGTAAGTAAAATGAGACCAATATATAATGTATAATTGTAAAATATGAAGAGTTCAGATGCAAAAACCTCTAAGTGCCGTTTGAAATTTTCCAATTAGAAATGTGCATTTTTTCCTCAGGCTCCAATGTTTATGTTAAGTTATTTCATTTTAAAGACCTTTAAAAGAGTGTATTGTTTGCCATAAATTAGATTTTACTGAACCTACAGTCAAGAGCCTAATGAAAATGCAAATTTTTGAAGGAAATTTCAAATGGCTTTTAGAGGTTTTTGCATCTGAACTCTTCACATGTAAAAATCAACACTAAAACTTTTTATATTTTTTTCATTACTGAAAAGAATGAATACACTACCTGACAAAACTCTTGTCGTTGATCCCAATAATAACTTTATTTCTAGTTGATCATGAGAAAAAATGGTAAAAGGTAGATGTTTTCAGCTGAATCATCTGTTGAGCTGCATTCCAATCATCACTAATACTGCAGAAGACCTATTGGAACCAGCATGAACCCAAGATTCTCACTAAAATCAGTCAAGTTTGGTGAAGGAAAAATCATGGTTTGGGGTTACATTCAGTATGGGGGCATGCGAGAGATCTGCAGAGTGGATAACAACATTAACAGCCTGAGGTATCAAGACATTTGTGCTGCTTATTACATTACAAACCACTGGAGAGGGCAAATTCTTCAGCAGGATAGCGCTCCTTCTCATACTTCAGCCTCCATATCAAAGTTCCTGAAAGCAAAGAAGATCATGGTCCTCCAGGATTGGCCAGCCCAGTCACCAGTGGTGAACATTATTGAGCATGTCTGGGGTAAGATGAAGGAGGCATTGAAGTTGAATCCAAAGAATCTTGATGAACACTAGGAGTCCTGCACGAACACTTTCTTTGCCATTCCAGATGACTTTATTAATAAGTTATTTGAGTCATTGCAGAGATTTATGGATGCAGTGCTCCAAGCTCACGGGAGTCATACACAATATATATATTTTTCCACTGAACCATGACTATATATTCTATTTTGTACATTATTTCTGGTAAATGATACGACTTTTGTCTAAGCAAAGTCAGACCTTACTGTTCTAATTAAATAATGTAAAGACTAAAAGACTTGATCATACTTTATTTTGGTAAAACAAGCGTAATCTAGAGGCCTTTGCCTTTCATATTAGCCACTTTTGATACCAAATGATCAACTAGAAGTCAAGTTATTATTTGTTGTTCCTTAAACATGGATAAGACATTTGTCAGATAGTGTATGTAAAGTGTTAATAAGTAATACAAAAGACATTTATTTTTAATTTTGAATATTGTCAATCAGTTAGCAATTTGCTTCAAATTACTGACATAATGTACTAATTAATCAAAGTAATCAATTCTGAACTTTTTAGATCCAAGGTAAAAGCAATGAAAAAAAAACACTGAGACCACTTAAAGATTCTCAGTTTCTCTAGATTAACAGTTTTGAGTTTGAATTGAACATACTTTTTGTTTTATTTTGTAAAATACTGAATTCACAAGTCAGAAAAGTTAGGTAAAAAAGTATATTGTTGGAATAACCCTAATTTTGAGACCAGCAGTCGAATTTTGCAAAAACATGCTCTAAATTAAATTGTTGTTTAAAAATTTATCAGACCTTAAATGACTCAAACCCATACTTAATATGTAAGGAGAAACTGAGAATTTTCAAGAGCTCTCTTGATTTTTTTGTTTGTTTCATAGCTCTGTGCATTTCTTTAAAAAATAAAATATTTAATATATCTAATGCTGGATTCACATCAAACACTAACTTAAGTATGTATTTGAGTATATTACATTTATTACAATCCAAACTCGTGAATACAGTCAATTTTTTGCCAGACGGGGGACTTTTGCCATGAATGTGTGGCATTTCTTACAAGTTGAAAAATGTAGCTTAAAATTTGCATTAGGCAAAAACACATTCTATGAGTAATCTAGAGCAAGTAAGCGTTTGGTGTGAACCCAACACATTGCTTTATGTAATTTCTTTGATTAAATGTAATTTAGACGTATAGACTTACTGAATTCTCAATTTGTGTATTAAACTGACAGCTCTAGTATTTTCACCCCACCTCCATTGGTTTCCTTTGGGTTCCTCTTTGTTTTCTCTCCACATTTCTGTTATTATTTTGTGGTCACCCCTCCTGCTCCCTGTACCTGTTCTCTCTGTCCGGTGTTGTGAGGGGTGTCTTCGCTCTGCTCTCTGCCCCTCTGTGAGGTGTCCTGCGTGCTGGCAGTGTTGATAGGAACGCCCGTGTGCTGTTGGCCTGTGTTGCAGACGAGCAGGAGACCTCCGGCGCCATCATTTACACTGTGGAGCTGAAGCGCTACGGCGGCCCACTGGGCATCACCATCTCGGGCACTGAGGAGCCCTTCGACCCCATCATCATCTCCAGCCTCACTAAAGGAGGCCTGGCCGAGAGGTACAGCTCTGGTGGAGCCTTCAGTCTGGCAACTGAAATTAAAGCGATAGTTCACCAAAAGGTGAATATTTACTCAACCTCAATTGAAAAAAGAGGATATTGTGAAGAATGCTGGAAACGTGTAACCATTGACTTTAATGGTAGGACAAACAAATACTATGGAAGTCAATGGTTATAGGTGGTTCAGCTTTCTTCAAAATATCTACTTCAATGTTTAACAGAAGAAAGAAATTCAAAGAGGTTTGAAAAAAGTGAAGGATGAGTAAATGATGACAGAATTTTCATTTTTGGGTGAACTATCCCTTTCAATATAGTGCTTTAGTGAAATATGCATTAAGAGAGAGTTAGTCTGTGATGTTTTACATAATTTTTACTTACCAAAATTATTGAAATGGTGTAGTTTTTCTTCTCACCAACATTTATTTAATCTAAAATACAACAAGAACAAGAACAGTGTGAAATATGTTTACAGTTTAAAATACTTGCTTTGCATTTGACTTTATTTTAAAATGTAAATTATTCCTTTTATGAAATCCAGAATTTCCTGCATCAATACTGATAATCAATTTAATATGCTGATTTGCTGTTTAAAATTACATCAAGTAATTTATCATTTGGATAATTTCGCAAGGATGCAGTAGAACGAATGCATGCTTTCACCAACACACAGGCTTTTAAAATGACGCACTGCAGTTGCCTTTAAAGACTGTGTTTATGTGCTGTTTCCTCTACAGGACCGGTGCCATTCACATTGGTGATCGCATCCTGGCCATTAACAGCAACAGTCTGAAGGGCAAACCTCTGAGTGAAGCCATTCACCTGCTGCAGATGGCAGGAGAGTCCGTCACGCTCAAGATCAAGAAACAGGGAGAACGTGAGTGGACATGCTTTTATTTCTACAATACATGTTCAGTCGAGTCTGAACACACTCCCCAGTGTCTTAGAAAGCTTTAACCTAAAGAGGCTTACGCTAAAAATGTGTGATGTTATTTTGATGACAAATATTAATTATTGCACTGCATTAATACTATCACGACCATGCAATTGTATTATTATTATAAAGTAATGAACAAAAATTACATTACTTATATTTTTATTTTATTATTTATTGTTTTTACTAATAATTTACATAGATTTCATTTATTTATTTATCTGTTTAAACTATTTGATTTCTTTACTGTTAACAAGTTACTTAATTGTCATTAGATTGAACTATTATAATATCAAATTTTTCCATTTTCCAAAAACATAGTTCCTTATAGTTTCAAAAACTTTTATTAATAAGATAAGTATCAATAATAAGAATAATAACAATAAATGTTTATTTAGAATTAGAATTTTTACATGAATTCTGACATTTTATAACTAATAATTATATATCAGTAAAATTATACCTTAACTTATATTTGTTATAATATTTGAACAATTGAATGATTACATTAGCTTTTACTCTTCTTCACATTCACTCTTTTTCACAGACTATCTTTTGTAACTATCTGTATCTTAACTATCTTTGTAGCTCTAAAATGCAGTAAAGATGCCTAGCCTTGAGTCATTACAGCCTATGGTCTGATGAATGTATTCTTTATCATTTATACACATCACAACAGACATGGTCATGTTGCATGTCCAAGAACAAAACATTAAATCTGTTGTCACGGGTCACGGTTTCTGATACTAAAGGTCCATAACAAATAATACTGTATGCTCAGAGTATGCTAAAACATGTGGTGTTTATGTTCATGCCCAAGTCTTAAATGGTCAAACAGCGATTCATGTTTTATAAATCAATAAAATTATTAAGTGTCTGGGATGCAGAAAGGCCAGAGACTGAAATGGGCTTTATTTAGTAAAAAATTGCCTTTAATATGAGATATGACTAAACAGTGGTCATAAAAGGCAACAGAGAAAGCTTTTACGTGTTAAATAGATAGAGATTTGGACCCTGGAAAGGTATTAAAGAGTTCACAAGTTAAATATCTGATATCCACTTGTGGTGTATTGACTGTGATTGGTGGGTTTGGAGAATAGAGATGGTTATGACAGTCATCCGCATATTAATTGCTTTAAAGTTTTTAATATATTAATGTTTTTTTTTAAGTATGTTCATTTATAAAGCTGTACTTTGCATCAGAATACAAAAGAAAACAATTACTGCTTATGAAAGGTGTTTATAATGCAGCGTCTATGGGCAGAACAGTAACTTTGATGCTATTCTGTCCTCGGGCTGCCATTATCAGTCTCATACGATTTTATTTTTCATTTTTGAAACTCATGAAAACACTATCGTGAAGTTTTTATTTTATTCTTTGAGCAAATAGGAATAAAAAATATTTATTGGTGTTACTCTCCCTTTCATTGCTCTTCAACTATGATGACTTTCACTGTCAAGATACCTGTAAATATGAAAAGGGTCCATTGTCTTTTTCGTTTCGCTCTTTTTACAGTGCCAAGCCCAAAGCCGCCGTCAGTAACGGGACGTCTGAACAACCTGAGCGATCTGGAGGATGACGGTCAGAAGGCTGGAAAACTGTCTGACATCTATTCAACCACCATCCCCAGTGTGGACAGCGCAGTGGAATCATGGGACGGCTCTGCCATTGACGCCACCTTCAGCACCCAGGGTAAGTTTGAGTCTGAGTGGTGTTAAAAAGTTTCAGCACTTTGACAAAATGTAATTAGCGCTTCCACCATTCAGCTTTTAGTTGTGGTAAATAAGTTTTAGAAGCCTCTGGGCAACATTTGATTGGAGCTGCATTCTTTTCAGCATAACAACGTGAAATGTCCCATTAGCTGAAAGTTTCCTGGCAAAATTACTGTTTGTAATTTAAAATTATATCTGTAATTTCAAATGCTCTGGAAGGCATGTGGGTTTTGTAATGGAAAGTAGAAGGCATTTGTTGGAGAATTTCGCAAAATGGTCAGTGACAACCAGGTATCAACTCTGGTTTAAAGTGATAAGGTTGGCAAGGAAAAGATCCCAGAGGCAAGCACCATTGTGACGATGACTTTTCATTTTCTTTTCATTCTCATGCCATTTCCTGTATTTTCCTGCCATGACAACACAAAGGGGCGTTTAGCAAAATGTTCTCGATGAAAGATTTTCATAATGGTCACTAACATGTAGGTGTGCATGACATTTACAGAAATATATATGTCAGTAGTTTGTTGCGTGTAGTTTGATACAGATACCTTGCTTTAAGCTTTTGTGGATTAATGAATATTGTGGCCAAAAGTCTCCGTTTTAATGAGTGACTAATGAATCATTCATTCAAATGAAGCAAGTGACGGTTTTTAGGAATGGATCATTGAATCACTGACTCAGATGATTAGCAGTTCAGAACTGTTTACAATGAAGCTTGTCAATACGATGTCTAAAATTAAGCTCCCTCAATAATAACTACTTGATTGTTGAAGTGTATAAAATCAAGATTCCGTTTCAAGCAGTGACATACTCTAAAACGTCAGCTCACTCACCATTAAAACAACAATTACATTTTAACCACAGATGATAAATATTGCATAATCAATTTGTGACAAACAAAAGGTAATATTGTCACAATAAATTTAAAAATAGAGTTCATATACTCGTACTGAACTATTGTTCTTTAAGCTTTGCAATATAAATCTAGCACTAGAAAATACACCGTGTAATTAATATTCATTAATCTCACTGGCACCATCTGAATGGATTTGTTCTAAGGGATTGTTCATCTGGAAATGATAATTCTGCCATTTGCTCCTCATCCTTGTCTTGACAAATCAGTTTGAGTTTTTATGTAACCACTGACATCCATAGTAGGATAAACAAATACTATGTTAGTCGATGGTTATAGGTATCTTCTTATATCTTCTTCTGTGTTCAACAGAACAAACAAAAACTCCTAACTGGTTTGGAACAAGTCACGGTGAGTAAATGATGGCAGAAATTTCATTTTTGGGTGAACTATGCCTTTAGGAAACCAATCACTTTAAACCTGCCTTTCTAAGAGCTGCTCTACTCCAATTGGTCAGATGTGACAGTGACTACTTTTACATGGACATCTGCAATCAAATTATTTGCCTTAAAAGGTAATAATGATTCCTGTCCAAATGATCCCATTTTACATGTTATAGCACATAATTCAAATAACGTCATTAGGTCATCACGCTATCCTAATTTCCTCAGGAGTTTCCTGTAATTTCGGGTGTTTCATTTATTAACAATTTATCAACTTTAACTGCAGTTTGGCATTTTCACTTTCATTCAGGAACATTTCAAGCATGCCCCCTGTCACAAACGATATATTGGATAAGAGTATGAACTGCTGGAAGAGTGTTGTTTTAATTAAATTTGTATACTGCACGCATAAAACCACCAGTGGTCCTTCACTTACCCAGTAGGTGCAGAGAATAGTGTCAAACAGCTGTATGAGTAGACTATGCTGTTGCAAAATGCGTTGAAAATCCTACACAACGTCAGCATGCCTGCCCACATGGAGACTCCAATATTTTAGACCCATCTCCTGCCACCCTCCCGTTTTGTTATTTCTCCCGGTACAGTCTATAACACCCTCGAATCGCCAACTTTGGTATAGTATCCGATCGCAGCGGCTGCCCGAAACCCAGTACAGTTAGTACAGTTACTTAAATGTGTTATTCAGACCCTCACCCCCCGACACCTAGACATCCCCTCTCCCTTGTCTCCCGGATTTTTAGAGTCAAGTGTTGGCAGGTATGAATGGCAGTATTTTGATTGCCAGTAGTTTGATTTGATTTCATGTATGCACTGCAATTCAATAATGTTACTAAAATCGGCATCCTCCATGTTTTAATTCGTTTTCTGTTTAGTTCGATTTTACCCTTAATCAGATTAAATTAATCAAAAATCGCTGTTTACATGGTAGACTCTTAATCAGAGTATTGTCTTAATCACATTAAAATCGGATTATTGGTGTCCATCTAAATGTACTATGTGATTGTGATTGGTTTACATCTTGCAGTACATTAAAAACTAAAACCCTAATTCCATATGATCTTCCTTAGCACTTGTAACAAGACAACTTATAATGGCGTCAGTTATAACATACCTATTTAAGCACTAATCCTTATCCTTTGGAAGTGCATGCAACGTGGATTTGCTTTTGTAATGTAAAAAAACAGTCACAAACTCTTCCAAGCCTCAGCTACAGTTTTTATGGGTCTGAGTAGACATTGTTTACAAAAATTAAGCAGATTTGAGACAGTTCTTTCCTTTAGGACAGTGTTTCTCAACCACGTTCCTGGATGACCACCAGCTCTACACCATGTCTCCTTAACCAAACACACCAGATTCAGATCATCAGCTCATTAGCAGAGACTGAAAGACCTGTAATGGGTGTGACAGACAAAGGAGACATCCAAAACATGCAGTGCTGGTGGTCCTCCAGGATCGTGGTTGAGAAACACAAAATAATTTACACTCACAAACAACTATTAATAATAATAACAGTGAGCGTGGTATCTAAAACAGCATAATGTGGCACTTTAAGCATGCCTATTCACATTTAATGAACTGGCAAGCCATATCGGGATTTGTTTTGGGAGTGAGTAAATAATGGCATTTACTTCATCTGTTCTTTTAATATCACAATGACGCACAATGGTGTCTTGTTTAACCTGGTCTGTATTCGTCACAGTCACTATGGCTGCACCACCTGTTCTTTCACATTAGCCGCAGCACCAACAGCGTTGGCCCCATTGCATCCTGGGGGTTCCGTCGAGTCCCAGCAGGCCTAATGTAGGTTTAATTGAGTTTTTCGTTCTCTTTGGACCTGCAGATATGTATTTACTCGAGTAATTATTTTGTGGCGGGATGCGCGTCTTCTATTAGTCCAGCTGGTGATACAGTGCTGTGGTTAATATGGAAGAATGCATTATTTTCCTAAGTGGAAAATGAGTTGTAATGAGCGCCGGGATACACATGGCCATTTGGATAACTCGCCAGTAATGTGTTTGAATTGCAGTCTGCTCTCTTGACACTCAGGCCTCCTGGTCAAAACTAATCGCAATCATCACTTGCACTGAGAATGCCAAGTAGGCACAGCGTGTATTTGACTATTTAATTCACACAAATGTTCCTGTGCATTAATGAATAGCTAATCCAGGTGTTTCTCCCACACTTGCTAAATAATCAAAATAATTGCTGAAATAAATATTTTTTAATTAGTCCACAAGGTTTAAACGCCCACACACACATAGATACGTGTGGGGGAGATTATGTAACATGCTTGTTTGTTGATAATTTAGCTTTGCATGAACTTTGTTATTATATATAATGTTTGTTCCATTTAACTTTAAATGTATATTATGTATTTGCAACTGTGTATATGTAATGTTAGTAAATAATATTTCACTGATCCATGTATAATTACCTAAAAATCTACAAAAAAATGTAGATAATTTAGACATGCTTTTTGTACATATTTAAAATGTAAAAAAAAAAAGGTATGTATTTTTAAGAGATTTATAGGAAGGGTTCATATGTTTTCATAAAAATATTATTATAGTTAACAACAAATATTATTATATATTATATATATATATAATAATTTAATAATTATATAATAAAGATGATTATATTTAATATGAATATAAAATGAATTTAAAATGAATATAATATTTAATATAACTGTATTTATTGTATAGATATAATATTTATATTATAATATATATATATATATATATATATATATAATATTTATTTAATAAATATTAGATTAAAGAGCCCCTATCATGCATTAAAAAGGGTCATATTTTGGTTTTGGGGGTTGGACGGGGCTTGAGTTCTGTATCGACGTCACAATGACCCAGCTAAAGATTCATTACAGCGGCGATTCGTTTAAATCACTATAAGTTGACTCTTTTCTAGATGAATTATTAGTTTTAAACATGATGCACTTTCAGATTTAAGCCTAAGCTGGATGTTTCACTTCACTTTAAGAGTTTTACACCCTGCACGGAAGGTCATTTTCAAAAACCCATTATAGGGGCTCTTTAAATATTATATTTATATACTGTACTTTATAAAAAAAATATTTCACTTGTTAGTTGTTAGTTACGATTCACTTTTTTAATTAAACTCTACAAACTCTAATAGTTTAAACTAATCATTATTATTAGGAGCATTTATTAATTAAAAATAAAAGCTATAAAAGCAAACTCAAACTAATATAAATGTCATTTATTGCATTGTAGACAGTTTATGTTTGCTTTTGCATTCCTACCCCTGTGTATGTAATTTAGTACAACTAATTGCTGATAGTGAATAATTTAGGTTTGCTTAACTCTATTTGTATAAATCTTTTATTCTATTTGATTTTTTAAATGCATTTGATTACTCTTTATTAACAATGCAAATGTACTAACCAATATAATTTGATTCTAAATAAATTATTACTATCTAAATAAATGAAACTATAAGTCAGCGTAGCTTCCCATTAATAACCGAATGCCATCAGTGATTTTCAATTACAGTCAGAGATGATTAATTAACCCCAGTGCCGCAGACATATTCCTCCTTTTCGTTTCATAAGTACGTGTCGTTTTTTTTTCGGTGTCTCTGGAAAGACACTCATGTTAACGGGTTCATATAGTTGCTGTCGTCCCCTCAGGCAGAGCTAGCCCTCCATACATAACTGAATCTCAGATGCTTGCAGAGATACAGAAAGCATTCAGAGGAGCAGCAATCTGCCCTTAAATTATGGATGATGTGGACAGAGCATAAATTCAAGGTTGCTGCAAACTGTTGGCTCTCGTGGGATTCAACTAGTACAGCTGTATCCTGAGATAAGGCTCAAGCTTACTCTGAACTTGATAGCCTGGACGAAGAGTTACGGAAACCATATGTCTGGTGTCTAATACGATTAATGGCCGATCCGTATGCAGTTTTAAATCAGGAGTTTTGTTTTTGCTGAGTGAAACATATTTCGGTTCAATGCAACCTCGGGCCACCTAAGCAGAATCGAATAAATAAAAAAACTTACCAGGATGGTTTGCCCTTATATTTAAAATATCCGTAAAAAGTTCAATCGAATGTAGACTGTTAATTTGGGCTGAAGCAAATCTGAAATTGTGATTATTTCTATTGAACTGCTGTGATTGACTGAATATTTCAGGAGCTTTCACTTTGCTTTGATATTATTGTATGCTGGATAAGAGCATAGACAGTCATCTATGCATATTATATATGTATATATATATATATATATATATATATATATATATATATATATATATATATATATATATATATACTGTATAAAAATATATAATAAAGTAATAATAATAAATAAAAATAATAGCAAAGTAGATATTTGACTTATAATTATGAAACTGTTTCTAAATGAATACTTTGTTTAAATTAAATAACACCTCTAAATATAAAAATAAACAAATCAATAATTTGTGATTAGTGTACATTACGATGTGTATTTGATATATTTTTTATACTTTTCTAGTATTTTATTGATTTAAATATTAATACATATAAAGGATAAATGATACATGTTTGATGTACATTATCTTATGCTATTTAGTAGACAATTTAATTAATAATAATATACAAATTAAAGATGGATTTCAATTGTATTATTATTATTATTTTCATTTTTATATTTGTCGGTATAACAATATTATTATGCTTGTAGTTACACGTCTAGAGTCATACAAAATACATAGACAGATAACTAAAATAACGTTAAAAGAATCTAAGGGTGTCAAGGTGGCGCAGTGGGTAGCACTATCGCCTCACAGCAAGAAGGTCGCTGGTTTGAGCCCCAGCTGAATCAGCTGGCATTTCTATGTGTTCGTGGGGGTTTCCTCCGGGTGATCAGGTTTTCCCCACAATCCAAAAACATGCACTATAGGTGAATTGAATAAGCTAAATTAGCTGTAGTCTATGTGTGTGAAAGCAAGTGTCTATGGGTGTTACCCAGTGATGGTTTGTGGCTGGAAAGGCATCCGCTGCGTAAAACATATGCTGAATAAGTAGGTGGTTCATTCCGTTGTGGCAACCCCAGATTAATAAAGGGGCTAAGCCGAAAAGAAAATGAATGAATAAATAATCTCAAAACAGACATCTTCATTGGGATCACACACATCTTATTATGCTATTTAGCAGAGATCTTTAATAGTAATAATGATAATAATAATAACAATAATAATGTAATACTTGTTTGGGTATATTTGTCTATAATATTAAAATAAATTATGTTAATATTGGTTAAGGTGGTTCATTCTGCTGTGCCGACCCATGATAAATAAGGGACTAAGCTGAAGGAATAAAACCGGTTAAGTCTAGACATCTTCTGTTATTTCAGCTTTTTCTTAGTTTCTATATTTCTATTCTGCTTATATTTCTATACCTGTAGTGTTATAAGTGCCAATAATAATGACGAAACCAATGGAAGGTGAGCATTACTACAGTAATTGTGTCTTGTTTTTTATTTTAGTTAAGCCGGGCCTCTGAAAAACCTAACATAGAAATGTGAATGTACGGTCGCTTATAGGGTGAAATGCATTTCTGTATGCGTGCAAGTCATTATTTTTGTCATTTGTTGCCACCGTGAACTCTTCTGAACTGTTGTCGATGTCTCATGCATTAATTAGCACTGTATATTTTTTAATGCACAGGGTTTCGCGCAGCTTCACTTCCGTACTGAAAATAGGTGGAAATGCTTTTAACTCCTATTCGAGGCACTGTTTTTGTTTGTTTGGAGTGTGTCTTCTGCACATTTGCGTAAGAGCAGCATCGAGCAGCCGCACTTGCGCAATTCATAAAAAAATGAATGCCTGTATGCATCACCATTCACCATCTCCAACGCTTCTTTTCTTGAAAATGTGACGCAGCATTAAAATAGCATTCGATGGGGGTCTTATTAAGAATTCCTGCACCTTCTCGAGCCCTGAGGGGTGAACAAATCACAAGCGGTTAATCCTTATTGAATTGATGGTGGATCTAGAAGGCCTGCGGCAGTGCAGTGATGGGAGAATCAGACCAGAGAGTGTGTTTGTGTGTGTGTGTGTTGTTCTGCTCTCCCTCTGGTCCTCCTGCAGTCCTGAGCCAGATTAATGATGGAGCATGAGAACCTGAGCATCTCTCACACTGCAGCGTAATACACAAATGTGCTACTGCTTCTGGGATCTGTTTATTGCCAAAGATTTTTTTCTTTCCTATTCAAAGTCAAATTGATTTTTTTTTCCATATCAGCAGAATAATGTTATGTGCAGGGGGAAAAAAAGTGCCAAATGCGAGCAACATTGTGACTTAATCAGTGTACTGCAAGAGTAACACAATGCATCTTCTCAAACTAATATTATTTATATTTTGTGAAGTTCATTTATAAAGTAATTTCAAGAGGGTCTTGTACTTATGATTGATCACAGCTGGTCCTGCATTAGCTAACGCATGATTCACCAATCAAATGATTCCTAACTCACTTTAAATAACCAGAGTTTCTTACCTTAGTCATCTTTGTCCCGTAGAATCCCCTCTTCCACCCCTACTCCTCCTCTCTATTCCTTGATAGGTCGGCATGGTGGCCCAGTGGTTAGCACTGTTGCCTCACAGCAGGAATGTCACTGTCATGGTAACAGGCCAGTTGACATTGCTGTGCAAAGTTTACATGTTCTCCCCGTGCACGTGTGGGTTTCCCTCAGGTTCTTCATTTTCCTCCACCAGTCCAAAAACATGCAACTCAAGTGAATTAACCAAATCAAATTGGCATCATGGATGAGCTCTTAATCAGCAGTATATCTCTCCATAGCAATCTCTAATTTGTCATTAGCCATAAATAAGCAGGGGAGTTCTCGAGACCTACCTGAGCTCAAACTCCCCTCTTGCCTTGCAAACGAGAGAGCTCAGGGCTCTCTCCTGGGACAGCAAGCTAAACACGGTTTATAATCAATCATCTGCTAAGTGTGAACTCTTGTATGAATGTTTATTATTAGATATCATCTATTTTAGCTAAATTGAAGTTAGCTACAGTAGATACTACTACTACTACTAATAATAATAATGATAATGATAATAATATAAATAATAATATTGTTGTTGTTAATAATGATCTAATAATAATAATCACAATAATAATTAATTTGATTAGGTGTTAGTTGACGTATTATTAAAATGATCCATTTTATAATTAAGTATTAAAAAGTAAAAAACAGTAAAAAAAATAACAATTAAAATTAGTTTAAACCTGATTAGCTTAATAACATAAGTTAAAGTAATATGAAAACTTTAGTTATCATGACTTTTGTCTAAGGCTGCACAATATATCGATATCAATGTGCGAATCCGATCAGGATCTGCATTGTCAAGTTGGAATATTTATTATTAACCAGGAAACAGTTCAGAGCACATGATGTGATTGCAAAGTTTAACCCTAATACAATGGTGAGTTTTGATGTGTTTTCAAGGGCTCTGACTAAGATTTTAAGTGAACTGAAACTAATTGTGCACAAGAAATGATAAAGTCTGCTACTTTAACAAAAAATGTATATATTTATTTTTACAACGAAGACTCCATGCAGAGTTATTTTACGTTTGATTATTGAATTTCTGTACCTCAATACACCACCAAAAACCAAAAAGTGCTGTTTATTTCATCATTGTGCTATTGTTTTCATCCATGGTATAATTTGTTTTTTGGGGTAATTTTGTATATTTTACGCAGATAAACTCACCTATAAAATCACAATCAAAGGCTGCTAAAGTTATCTTGTGAAATTATATTCCTATCACAATATAAATTGCAGAAAAAGCAATTATTGCATTGTCAGTTTTTTTTCCGATATCGTGCAGCCCTACTTTCATCATATAAATTGGTAAATAAAATTAATAAATCTTATTTTAATTTATGTTAAATCCTAAGTATAAACGTATTGTTATTATTAATTTAACATCTGTTTTAAATAAATAATTTATCTATTAAAATACCATTTATAATATACAGTATTATTACATTTATATAGGAAACGTCAAATTGAGGGTATGCAATATATGTATTGCTGATAAACATGCTCATTCCACCCACTATTGACAGAAGTAGCAGAAAGTTCATTTTGGCCGCGGGTTGTGTGTGTGTTTGTTTCAGCTCCCACAGGTTTCCAGGCATCAGGCTACAGTTTCCACAGCCACGAGTGGAGGAATGCCAAGCCCAGCCGGGGCAGCCTGTCACCGGTCAACAGCAGCCGGCAAAGGAACAACATCCTGCCAGACTTCGGCATTGGTGTGGATGACTGGGACAGGCCGAGCGCCAGCGGGTATGAGAACTTACCACTAGTCAACTACACTGAAGAGTTGAAATACACAATCCACACAATCCACACTATACAGTTTTGTAAATAAGAATGAATCACATTGTTTTACCTTCATGTTGTTCCAAATCCATATGTTTTTCATGGAATTCATGTATAGATCATTTAATAATGCATTGAAGAACTGCATTAAAATGCTTCCCAGCTTCTGTGGAAAATAATAAATAGTTACAAATTTGAAGCAACATGAACATAATGAGAAATAATGGATAAATAATGAGTTTTCATTTTGGGGTGAAAAATAAAAGCTGCCAGGTCTATTTTTAATGTCTTGAATTTGTTGAAAGGATTTTATGCTTCATTAGTAAAGTGCATAAGACTTCTGTGTGAAACAGATTGAAGAAATTAACTTTCCCAGAGCATATTATTCCATTAAAGTTATTCCTTTTTTTACTTTCTTAAAAACCTGACGTCCTGAAGTGTCAATATCCATTGAATCATAGACGACTTTTAGTGTCAGACTGTATTAGGAGAAGGCAGTGCTGCTTAACAGATCTATTCAAATGTTTTGTTGACTTCTCAAATGCATTAAATTCAACTGACTACCTTAGCCGAGACCATTAGTACAATTTTTAAGAAGTGAACTGACTTTAATATCCACATTAAGCTGCTCTACGGAGACATTTCTCTGAATTCTTTGTGCAAGTGTCTTTTTGTTTCAACCCAAAATGTGGGTCTGTCATAATATTAACTGAGCAGTTTTCAGCACATTGTACTGTCAAACAGGCTGTTACTGGAGCTTTGATCGATCGGTTCTGGGGTGATTTCACTTTTCTTTGTTAGCTCATTCTGCTGGATATTTGTAATTCAGATTCATTGTGCTGTAGATCAAAGGCATAAAGTCCCTGTGTGCAGTAATGAAGCCAGCGGCTCTTAGGAAGAAATGAGGCCTTTTTTAAAGTATTTAGCTGACACTTGAGTTATGATCGCCTTTTGAGTTTTCTTCGTAGGGTTGTACGGCTTTATTTGATGGCGACTATGAGCTGCCTCAAAGTCTACGTGAAATCAAAGTTGACCTCTTTTGCTTATTTTCTTGATGCACTTCCCTGATCTTATTGTGATGGATTTTATATCTATTTAAAATCTGTCAGGAATGTTAATCACATTGCAGACTTGCTCATCTACATTTATTAGCTGACATAACATTTATTTAGTAGTAGTAACTGATTGGTTGAAAACCAGGAAAGGGTTGAACTTCATTAGGATTACCTGGAGCAATATTTTAATCTTTCTTAGGCAAGTACATATGCTGTAAAATATAAAGTGCAAATTAACACTTTACCCCATTTATTTATTTCCTAATTATGAATGCTATTTTTAACCAAACATAAAAGATACACATTTTATGACACACTTTTCCATGAAACTTAATGAGCATCCAAATCAATGTTGTGTGCTGGGCTAAATGTTGTATGTCTGTACGTGTGATGGTATTTTTAGCGGTTAAGAACTCATAATATAACTATAAGCAGTCTCATTCCAGCTGGTAACTATTTTATGGCTTGATGAATTAATAGCTTATTCGTATGAATTTGTACAGTGTCATTCATTGTTTGTTGTATGATGTGCCGCAATATATATATTAGGGCTGGGCGATATGGCAAAAATGCAATCTCGATAACTATTTCCCATATCGAACGATAACGATATATATTTCAACATAAGTTGTTACTGCTTCCAGATTTACATATACATACATTTACATATTTTTCGGCTGATACATTTTCAGTGGCCAAAAATTTGGTTCAGTACATCTCTAATATCAACACACTTCTAGGTGCACATTGATGGACATTTCTGCTATGTGATTGGCTCACAGATCAATATAAAGTAAAAATGTTGAGAGCTTTTTATTGTTATTTACATAAATTTTATTAAATTTGATATTATATTGTTTATAGGCCCAGCCCAAATATACAGCGGAAGTCAGAATCATTAGCCCCCCTGAATTATTATTCCCCCTGTTTATTTTTTTCCTCAATATCTGTTTAACAGAAATATTTTTTTCAGCACATTTCGAACATAATAGTTTTATTAACTCATTTCTAATAACTGATTTATTTTATCTGTGCCATGATGACAGTAAATAATATTTGACTAGATATTTTTCAAGACACTTCTATACAGCTTAAAGTGACAATTAAAGGTTTAACTAGGTTAATTAGGGTAACTAAGCAGGTTAGGGTAATTAGGCAAGTTATTGTATAATGATGGTTTGTTCTGTAGACTATCAAAAATATATAGCTTAAAGGGGCTAATAATTTTGACCTTGAAAATGGTGTTTAAAAAATTTAAAAGTGCTTTTATTCTAGCCGAAATAAAACGAATAAGACTTTCTCTTGAAGAAAAAATATTATCAGACATACTATGAAAATTTCCTTGCCCTGTTAAACATCATTTGGGAAATATTTAAAAAAGAAAAAAGAAATTCAAAGGGGGGGGGGGGCTAATAATTCTGACTTCAACTGCGTGTATTTAGCCCTATAAATGCAAAAGACTTTACATTGCTAGAGTGTGTAACAGATAAATGATTCAACATTAATTAAAATTAGTTATAGTTAGGACACTAGAAATCTGGCAATGATGGAAAACAACAAAATTTAATTCAAGTTGACCTGTATAGCACTTTTCACAATAATGATGCACACCCACATGAAAAAAGAAGGTCTTGAATGTCCCAAAAAAATATCAATAACTCCTTTTCATCCAAAAACGAAGTTACTGCCTTTTGCATTTGCATGGCAGAATGGGTGATCAGAATGGGTTATTCCTTTCAAAAATTTAAAATTTTTGTATGAATGAAAATGTACAAATTCATTCTATTCAGCCAAAAAATAAAACAGTTACCTTTTATGAGCTGGGGGTTTATAAAATATAATGCACTGTGACAGACTGAGTGATCTGGTTTGCCGTTTGTGTTATTGATTGAAGCTGATCTTCATTTCAGGGCATCCACGCTGCCCACCGGTTTAATCTCAGACAGCAGGTGAGGTTCAGTGCTGTGTGCCTGTTAACCTGCACTGCTTAACCCAAACCAATCCGGCCCTTTCACTCCATAAACCCAAAGCCCCACAACCCACCAGGACATCACCGCCCATCACAGTGTGTCCGACCTCTATGTGTCTCTCTCTTCAAAGAGCCTCACCATAGCCTGCACAGATCATTGGTCGTGCCTTGCGTTCATCACTGTGATGCCTGCCTGCTCATTGGCAACCATTCATTTGTCACGCAAAACCATTTAAATGTCCCGTTGTGTTTCCAACAGGTTCACTGTGGGACACGATGGGACGGAACCAGACCAGGAGGAGAACTTTTGGTCACAAGCGCTGGAAGACCTGGAGACGTGTGGTCAATCGGGAATCCTGCGAGAGCTTGAGGTAATTTAGGAGAACAAAGTTGTCCATTCCCCTCTCCCTGTGTTCAAACTTTAGCTCTTTTCATTCATCAATTCCCTCTATCCCATACTTTTTCCAGTTGCATGTTGCTGTACCAACCCTTGGTTTTGTGTAACAGCTCCTTCTTTTTCCAGGACAAGCCAGACAGGCTTCTGAATAAGAGAAACCTGGCCATCTTGGTACCCCTTTCCTTTCTTTGGGCTTCCTCTTTGCTTGTAGCGCTGGCACCCAAGTGCTCTCCTCGTGCTAATGGGCTCAGTGTCTCTTGCTGGGGGCCTGCTTGAAAGGGTTGGGGTGTTGGGGCTCACAGACAACCACTATTGGCATCCACTTCACATCCTAGGGGTGCATTCAAAACGCAGTACTATGTAGTAAAGGCTTAGTTCACCCAGATTCAGTCCACATTTATGCACAGTTATGTCGTTCCAAGCTCATTTATGTTTAGGTTAAGGAAAAACAGTTGGAGTAATGAAGACATTAAAGGTATAAAACAATATTACTTCACTTAAAGGGCACCTATTTTACCCCTTTTTCAAGATTTAAGATGAGTCTTTTGTGTCTCCAGAATGTGTCTGTAAAGTCTCAGCTCAAAACACCCATCAGATTATTTATTATACCTTTTAAAATATTGAAATGTTCTGCTTTGAACACAACGTAGCTGTTTTTGTTGCCTGCGCCTTTAATGCTAGTTCTCCCCATCCACCGTTCCCAAATGCCTGTAAGAGCGTGCTTCAATTTTCCTGCTGTGTCAAATAAACAGCACAGTGACAGACATGAAGGACATTTTGGAGTTGATGAGATTGATGAGTAACACACATAATGTCATTACAAAGTTCGGAACGGACAAATCGGACACACACACATCGCGCGCGTTTAACTTTGCACTGTTTTTGCATGCAAAGTGACAGGATACACATTAATATCCACTGCTGTATGTATAGCCGTTATGTTAATGTACAAAATAAACCCAATTTAACGTCCACAATTCGGGATTGAAGCATTTTCTTCTATAATTGTACTGACATACGGCTGTGCACTGCAAAAAAGAATTCTTAGAATTTTTGTCTTGTTTCTAGTCCAAATATCTCAAAATTCGTAAATCAAGAAGAATTTTCTAGACAAGCAAAACATATGGTCTTGTTTTCAGAAATAATATGCTAAAATGAAGTGAGTTTTCCTTAAAACAAGCAAAATAATCTGCCAATGGAGTGAGCAAAATATTCTTATGTCAAAAGGAAAAACAAGATTATTTAGCTTACCCCATTGGCAGAGTATTTTGCTTGTTTTAATTGAAAACTCACTTAATGTTGGCATATTATTTCTGAAAACAAGACAATATGTTTTGCTTACCAAGAAAAAGCTTCTTGGTCTAAGATATTTGGACTAAAGACTACAAAAAATATATAAGAAAAGCATTTTTTGCAGTGTGTGATAAAGTAAAGACTATAAAATTGCTGCAGTTCATTAGAAACATGCACTGTTTAAACGTTTTAAACTTGTAAAACTCATTCATGATCACATTTGATAATGATTAATGATCACAGAGAGGCGATGAGATCTTTTAATCCTTGTTGCTTTGCGCACATCCTGTCTTGTTGATATGATTATACACGTTACTACAGAGACATGTTAATACATGGCTGTCAATCAATTTGGTGGGCGGTGAAACCACATTTCTACATCACGTTGTGGTGGGCCTCAAAATAGAAGGGATTCTATTTTAATGTCAGAAAATGTAAAAAATAAAAAAATAAAAAAAAGAGAGACTTAATGTGTTTCTATCACTTAAATAAGACTGTGGACACATTATACCCACACACAGTTCTTTCCAAACAGCTTTCAAAACATGATTTTCTTCATAGGTGCCCTTTTAAAAAAATGTATACTATTATTAATTGAAATAACTGATAAAATAATTAATAGATTTAGTTTTAAGAATAACAATTCAATTGTTTTAAACTGTCTTTCCACACAAATATTTTACACACCAGCAGTAATGCTTTCAAAAAAACTTCAAGAACCTGTGAAACCTATCTCAAAAAATAAATAAATAAATAAATAAACAACATTTTCATTCATTTAGAGCTTATAGAAAACCCCATCTGAAGACTGAATGTTGCTGTCATTAAACTAATGAACAAACTCTGTCTATTTTAAGGCTATCGCATTGTTGTTTCACATGAGAAAAACAAGAGAAAAACATCTTCGCCTGTTAACAGCAAGGCCTGCTGTGAAGAAAATATGCTCTGACGGCGCAGGGACACACTGATATCAGTCTGATAAGCGACTGAGTTTCTCATTGCAGTTTTCTTCCCACTATAAAGCAGATCCACATCTAGTGGGATGCATGACTCTAACGAGAACTGAATATGCCAATAAGAATGGAAATATTGCCACACTTGGCTCTGCCTGAAAGTATCCCAGCATCTCTCATCAACCTCAGCATCTCGTATTCGCTCATGACTTGCTCAGGCGTAACGGTGAAATGCAGGTAACGGATCCAGTGCCTTTTATTGGTGCAAAGTTGGAATTGTGTTTTTACTAGCTTGATGCAAATCGAGATGAGGTTTGAGAGCTGTGAAGGACAAGATTTTCCATCTTTCACCTCATACTAAGCCATTGTAGGGCTTTTGTGAGCTTGTACAGAACACATCACAACTAAAGTCCTAAATAATATGGGTTTGGAACAACATGAGGGTCTGTAAATAATGGCAGAATTATTATTTGTGAGTGAACTATCCCTTTAAATACTAAAAAAGAAACAAAAGCGTTGATTGAACTGATAAGAATTGCTTAAAAATTGGCTTTATTCTGTCGCTGAATGCATTTTATTTTGTCTCGTACAGTAGATAAAATCACCTGTCATGTCACACAATGGTGTGCTTGACATGCTTTGTGGCCAGCCTTGAAATATTTCATGAAAGCAGATTGATTTGCTTGCCTTGACTTTATCAGGTACCTTGAGTTAAACGCCAGCCACGTGTAGCCGACGGCACAGAGAAGCTTTTAGTAGTCAACGTTAGGACAAGCTGTGAAAGCTCTTCACTTTCCATCCCACTTGTCTGCGGAAACACGATAAAATCAAAAGCCTTTTACGCTGAATGTACCCTTTGGCCCTAATTGGATTCGATGAAAGTGTTTGCCTCTGGTTTGTGTCAGTATAAATGTACTATTGAGCTCGAAACGGCCTGAAAAACATTGTACGAAAGTCACACGTTTTCATTTTCCACATGCTGAATTGATTGAATGTGGTGTCGAGGTGCATGATTTACATGTATGATCATCGGTTTAATGATTTTTATGCTGCTTACCACAAATGCATCGGCTTGGACGAGTTTCCTCTTTTGTGTGGTCACCTGTCATTAACCTGGAATCTCCATTCCGTGCGGTTTGAGTGAGAGTCACACAAACTAGCAAATGACGGTGGACGGAAGATAACGAAGGCATGTGGGCTCATGCAAAGCATGATGGAGGAGATGCAGCAAGGCTTTTTTGTTGTGAAAATTTAGTCTTGTGTAGTCGTGTCTTCAGCAAAAGGCCAGAACCAGGTTCTTTTTGAAGATCATCTTCAAATGACTCCAAGAAACATACAAAAACAATGCCCACTCTTCATAATGTTTGTGTAATCACTGCCATGGCTTGCCATGGTGGACGTCGAAGCAGTTCAATCCACTCATTAGTGTGTCAAAATGCATGTTACTAAGAGTTTGTGTATCGTTGTCCATCATCATTTTGCTTCTTGTAACATACTAAACAGGAAGCATAACAAACTGTAAATGAAATGCTTTTGAATGTTTAATGAGTGTTTATGAGTGTTTCTCTGTCAATGTAACTTCCACAAACTAAAAGTCAAATGTTTGGGGGTTTAGAAAGAAGTTTCTTACGCTTACAATGGCTAAACTGGTGTTTATTCTAAAGCATTTTCAAATGTATTTTATTCCTGTGATAGCAAAGCTGCATTTTCAGCATCGCTACTCCACTATCACATGGTCATCATCAATATTTTTGTGTAAGCCAAGATGCATTGTTTTCACGATTCTTTGATATCCACAATTCAAAAGACCACCAGTTATTTGAACTTGAACTTGTTTGTTACCTTATAAATGCCTTTACTGTCAGTTGAGCTCAATTGTATGATGCTAATCCAATGCATGGTATGGCTTAGTCAGTACAGCTCAATTTTGAGGGTGTATTTTTTATTATTAACACCTCTGTTCCTAAGAGAGACATATAAATGCTGAATTGTGACCTATAAAGACTATCACTAATCACTGAATGTCCAAATAAAATGGCCACTATCTACATCCTTTTAAATGACTGTCACATGCAACTTAACATTGCTGTGTCATTGTCAGTAGATGAGATGAAGTTCTTCTCAGGCAGCTGACGAGCAGTTTCAGCCAAAGCTGGCTAAGGCAACGCAGAATGTAAAGGCACTGCAACTATATTGATATGTCTGTAATTCAATTCACTAAACTGCAGCGGAACAGCAAGCCAAAGTAAAGTGAGCCAAACTAAAACAAGCCAAACCGAACTAAGCCAAGTCATACCAAGCAGAGGAAAAGCAGCTTTAATGTATCTTTACTGGATTAAAAGCTTCTCTTCTTTTAAAACTCCCAAACTTTTGAATGGCAGCTCACACTAGACTTCACTTATAAAGTGCATTTTATTTGTTTTTTGCTTCATATAACCAGCACTTATATCGGCTGGTACTCAGCTCCTTTCCTCGTGGTTTTCCCTCTAGGCCACCATTATGTCGGGCAGCTCTTTAAGTCTAAACCACGACCCTGCGCCCACCCGAAGCCATCTGGGCCGTCAGGCCAGCTTTCAGGAACGTGGCAGTAACAAACCACAGTACTCACAGGCCAACCGCAGCAACACGCTGCCCACTGATGTCGGCAGAAAAGCTTTCGCCATGAGGAGAATGAAGCAGGAGATCAAAGACATCATGTCACCAACCCCGGTAGAGCTTCATAAGGTGAGATTATTGATCATTTCTCGATCAATTCAGTCTATTTAAAGCCGGTTTAATGTGTGTAACTGCTCCCACCACTTTCACAGGTGAGTCTTTTGAAAGACTCGGATCTTGAGGACTTTGGGTTTAGCGTGTCCGATGGAGTCTTGGAGAAGGGGGTTTATGTTAACAATATCCGTCCAGGAGGCCCTGCTGAAATTGGAGGCCTAAAGCCATACGACAGGCTGCTACAGGTGAGCCACTGTCCGAATAAGTATGGATGACAGTACAGAAGGAAGTGTGGCTAATTTTGCCTTGTTTTGTGCCACAGATTAACCATGTACGTACTAGAGACTTTGACTGCTGCTTAGTGGTTCCCCTAATAGCGGAGTCTGGAAACAAGCTGGATCTAGTCATAAGCCGAAACCCAGTTTCTTCACAGCCCTCAGAACTGAACCCGTTGTCCAATGATGAGACAGTGAACTGGACTGACACTGGAGACCCTCTCGAGCAGCCGGTCGCAGGGCTGGAGCAGGGCCAGCACAACTCCACATTAGCAGGACTAGAAGACAGAGACCCCACCAAGACTTTATAGCAGAACTCCTCCCTGGTGCCTGCAGTGGAGCATTTCTCCTCATGGTGCTAAACTGAACCCTCCCCTCCCATAACGGCTCTCTCTAGTGGAGGAAAACACAAGGGCCTTGTCCTATAGCACACCCAGTCCCTTTCCTACAGTAAGTCAGAGCATGAACCACCACGACAGAGGTCCTTTCTTGAGACGCTGGGTGTGTTTTTACCCTGTGAAAAAGCAGCGAAGACCACACTGACCTCTTGGAAAACCAAATTGTGGGGGGAGGGAAACCTGAAACAGTGCCATCCCTGATTTTTATTGCCAATAAACACTAGTTTTAAGGAGGATTAAAAGAAGATGCATAAAAGCAACACATGAGACTTCTACTTACAATATCGGACTGGCCACTCTGTGATCGTCCGTGTTTTGAGTTTGAATGAGTGTGCGTGAGTGTCCGAAGACTTTATTTCGTAAACCTCCACAGTCTGTCAAAGTCCCACGTCCCAAACGCAACCGTCGACCCTCCTATTTTGTGATACTGAAACACAAGTGTGTATCGTGTATGTCTGTGTATTTCCTTCTATCTGATGCCAAGGTCAGAGCTGGTCCCTTTTTTCTTGATATGAGAAGAGATGCAGCCGCGTGGGGGGAAAAAATGATCAGCACAATGAATTTGGTAGCCATTTTTCAATTGTGACTGAACGTGGGTTATAGCCTAATGCATGAGACCTTTTAATGCGAATATTTTGTAGTAATTCTGTCCAAAAAAAAAAAAGAGCTTGGCTACACGGAAAACACCACATATTGGTTCTCTGCCTGCTATATCACCGCAAATATGAATTCCAATGTCACTCATAAGGAGAGGGTGGCACAAAGGCACCTTATCTTGAAATTGGACAGATGTCTATTTTTATGAACAGAGGTGGATGATTTATAAGGGATGTGTGTGATTTTGAGCGATGGCTGGTTAGCATGAGGTCGCTATCGACCATATACTGAAGCAGATTGATGGCACAGAGAAGGTCATTCGGGTTTGGAAACTCTTTGTACTTTGTTAGCTAATCGCCGTAGGTCTGTGGTCTCCAGACTCTCGCCCCAATTTTTGAGGAAATCCATCATTGGCCCAAAGGACAGAACAGCTTATTTATTCCAACATCAATCTCCTAAATGAAAACGACAGGCATTCAAGTAGGTACTTGCATACTGTTTACTCCACTGTCTGTGATAAATGAGAATATTACGATGAACAAATTCATCTCATATGCTTAAATTTGCAGTGCCCACTTATGACAAAAACACAAGCATGGGGTTGATATCCATGAGAGAAAAAAAAAAAGACTTTTGTATTCTTCCCTCCATTGTTTAAGTAGTTTTAAATCATTATGGTAATTTGTATATGGTACTGTTATGGTTTTCTATGTTTCATCTGACATTTTTTCAGACTATGTAAGCCCAAAGGGTACGCATTTGTAAAGAGAAAAAAAAGAAGTGTCAAATCATGAGAGAGTGGATTCATTCTACCATATGCGGTAGACCACATCACATTTGTAGCTCTACTTGGAGAAAAAAAATAAGACTAGCAAAGAAAATATGCCATACGAAAGCTGCTAATGGCAATGAAGACCCTCACCCACTCGTGTGAAACTGTGCTTTTGATTGAGTGACGTCACCCTCGTTGTCAGTGCTCAAAGATCCTGTCTACTCACCATTTTCCATTGGCACGTTGAGGTTCTACTACTGAACTCAACAAAAGCCCACTTGATGGAGAAAGTCTGGCGATGATGACAAGGTGTCTTTTGTTGTCTTTTTATTTTATATAAGCCTTCAGGTACGGGTTCATTCCCCAAACTCATGCACTGAGATGTGTTTCTCAACTGCGTAATTGCTATGTGTTGAATTGCGGTTTCCAAGCCGTTATTCGAGAGTTAGCTGTCACTTTCATTACAACGCTTTCCTTGACCTAAGTTTGTCACGACACTTCACTGTGTTACTGCAAATACACTCCGGTCAAGTGGAGAGGAAAAAAAGCAAACTCATTTTTATGTTCCATTTGTGGAAACGTTTAGTGAAGTCAAGCACTGCCAGTTAAAATAGTGGGTGTCCATTTTCAGTATACGATGACTTTATGATTCAATGTCACAGTTATGTCCCTGAAATATTGTATTTTTATTTCTAATGGACAGGTATTATGAGCTGTAAAGTATTTTTGTACAAAATTTAATACTTTGTTAGCATGATGTTTATCGTCTATGTATAAATTTGGGGATTCCTACAGCTGTAATCCTTTGTATGGCCGACGAACAGAGAAACAATAAAACGACATACCGAGTGGAGAGATGACACTGAAATGATCTCTTGATCCAATTTGACTTATGACATGGTTGTGGGAAAAGAGCTAATGATTCCATTTCGATCCCTATATAACAGGGGTGTCTAACTCAGTTTCTGGAGGGCTGTAGCGTTGCAGAGTTTTGTTTCAACCCTGCTTCAGCACACCTGAAACAAGCCTGAAGGACTCAATTTGATTGCACAGGTGTGTTTAATTAGAGTTTTATTTACAGATGAAAGGTTTTTCAAGACGTTTTCCTTCCATCTGAGACAAAGCAGGAAAGCAAGCAAATTCTGTGCGATTTGAATCAACATGGCAAGGTATGAATACTTTGATGGTGAGATTTCTCACAACACATCCTCTAATGCTCAGGTGCTGGTCAGCAGGCAGAAAGTAGGTGATTTTTGCAGCACTTCAAACACATTTAATGGATTGAGCATTTACACCTCGAAAGCAATTCGCTCAAAAGCATTTGACCACATTTGAAAGTGGTCAAAAGTGGTCAATCTCAAAACATTTCAGACAGCATTTACACCTTTATTTAGTATCATATACTTAATAGAAGAATCATTTGGTTCCCCATATACTTAACACTAGAAATAGCTACTTTTTATTTTATTTTATTTGTGGAAAACATGTTAAATTTTAAATATTTTTTGCTGGTAATTAATTTTTGATGGTTCCAGCAAAAGGTTCATCATGGAACATTTGTTTGTAAAAGTGTTTATAGTAACACACAATGTCCAATTAGTTAACAATTTTAATGCAATTTCTAAACAAAACATTAATTTTAATAATTTTTAATAATTTTCTACAGCATTTAAATCATTTTTGTAAAGTTAATTAATTGAAATGTTAGTTAATAAAACCAAAACTGCTATTTCTTAATCCTTATCGGCTCCAGTCCATTAAGAAACTGGCACCTTTTCACAGATTGAGCCTTTACATCTGATAGGCAACTCAATCTAATGCATTTGACCACATTTGAAAGTGGTGAAAAGCAGTCATACTGAAAACATTTCAGACAGCATTTACACCTATATTTAGTGTCATCCATGTGTGATCAGACTGATGAAAATACCAGGCTAACAATATCTGGCTGTATCAAAAATTGCCCACTATATCTTAGCATGATGTTCACCATACATGTGTACTCGCCAATAGATGATGACTATACATTGGTTGCAAGCCCTTTATTAAAATTCAATATGGCACTGAATGAGTGCACTGTGGTTTGAGCACCACTACAAATGGCTGTCCTCTCAAAACAGGGCACTATATTAGAATAAAACGAGGTCATTTCTGACAAAGTCTTTCACCTTTATAAATGCCAAAATAATCAGCAAAATAATTTTCTGTTCTTCTGTTGTATTTTCTGTTTCTACATGTCCACAACAACCTTTAAGTAATTAGGTTGACATTTAAGTGTTAAATGTCAAAACGTTAGTTATTAAAAAATGGTTTAATGATGTTTAATTCTTCTAAATTATCTAGCACAATTTGTTTTATTAACCACAACCAAGGGTTCAAAGGGGAACCTTAGAAGAACAATTTGTTCCCCAAAGACCATTTAAGCAAACAGTTATCCTAATAACAAACTTTTTTAGTGTAAAGAACATTTTTAATGATAAAAAATATGTTTTTTATTTGCTAAAAAAGGTTCATAATGGAACAATTTTTGCACTTTTGTGTATATAAGATAACGCTTTAAATAAAGTTAAATTAGTTAACAATATTTAATGCATTAGCTAAGGATTTTTCTATAATCTTTGTAAATTGAGTTAATTAAAAGTACATTAATAAATCCAAAACAGTTTTTTCTTAATTCAAGTCAGCTCATGTTTATTAAAAATGTCTTGGTAATATACTTACTGGCCACTTTATTAGGTACACCTTACTAGTACCGGGTTGGACCCCCTTTTGCCTTCAGAACTGCCTTAATCCATCGTGGCATAGATTCAGCAAGGGACTGGAAAATCCTAAAAGATTTTGGTCCATACTGACATGACAGCATCATGCAGTTGCGGCAGATTTGTCGGCTGCACATCCATGATGTGAATCTCCCGTTCCACCGCATCCCAAAGAAGCTCTATTGGATTGAGAACTGGTGACTGTAGAGGCCATTTGAGTACAGTGAACTCATTGTCATGTTCAAGAATTTAGTCTGAGATGATTCTCAGTTTATGACATGTGTGTTATCCTGCTGGAAGTAGCCATCAGAAGATGCGTACACTGTGGTCATAATGGGGTGGACATGACCAGCAAAAGGCATTTGCGCCCACAGAATTGCCTGTGTCTTAAAAATCCCAGTACATCAGCAGTTTCTGAAATACTCAGACCAGCCCGTCTGGTTATCACGTTCAAGGTCACTTCAATAATTTTTCCCATTCTGATGCTGATTGTCTTGTCCTAAATTAGAGATTATTAGAAATTTCCGATTAGAAATTTGCGTTAACGAGCAGTTGAACAGGTGTACCTATTAAACTGGCTGGTGAGTGTTTATTATTATGCATCACATAAACTTAACTATACTGCATTAACAACAAGTTATAAATAGTGTTTACAATTGTCTGGTCATGTCAACTTTGTTACCCACTGAAATTTGATCAAGACATATTTTCTAAATATCAATAAATAAACTGAAGGATAAGATTTCTAAAATCACAACCTCAGAAAAATTAACAAAATGCATGCAATGACTCATCATCATTTACAATATGATCAAAACATGCATTTAAAAAATTCCAGATATGCACAGCCATTTACTAAGATGAAGCAGTGTGTGGAATATGAAGAGAACTTATGAATGACTCTCAAGGATAAGCCCGGTCTGTGCACTTGCTGTTCCTCTGCCATTTAGCAACCACATGCTCTCTATTCAAAGTGACTGTAGCAGCATTTGCAGCTATTGTCTTCCTGAGCAAGCAGGTGGTAAGTGTCACACTCAAGCATACAGTGCTGATGGAGTGCGATCGATCTCACTAACTCTTCTTTTAGAAGCTCAGCTACAGAACCATTAAGCCTTCGCTCACCTGAACCTTTTCCGCTAGCCTGAAACTGTTGCTTGTCGAGCGATAAGCTACTTATAATTCACAGCAGCTTCCCCAAAACTACTCTACTCTTGCTGTTAATAGTGACAGCGCCATCTGGTGATCACTCAGAGTGGAGACTCGCAATGTTATTTTTCAAAAGCTTTACATGTGCCTGCTTTGCATAACAAGAATTGCACTATATAATGAAGATGAATGGTATATGTCGGAAATTAAGTATAATTCTTTGCACCATCTGTTACATATTCACCTTAAAATTAAACATAAGCTGAATCGTTTTGACTGCAGATGGTTTTAACGATTTTTCAGACCGCTGAAATGGTGGAAACGCAAGAACTGGAACAGAAAATGAGGCACCACTCTGTGCCATATGAAAGAAATAATGTGATAGAAAGCTTCCCCTGAATGCAAGGAGCCAAAAGGTTATTCGGAAACACCCGGGAACGGATACAGGGGATGCAGGAAGACACTGTACTTCCAAATGAATTATGTGGCTATGTCCCTGAGGCTGGCTCCACATTGACTTTAATGAAATGCTGTGTGTGGACTCCATAAAGAGCTGCCTTCCACCTCAAGCTCCTTTGGGAAAGTACCGGGCAGTGGTGCATTTTGTTAAAGCATGCCCAGGAGAGGCTGCGAGCAACTTCTGCAAGAACTCTGGCGCTATTCGAATCCCACGGGCATGTCATTACATGGTAAAACCCATAGGTAATACCAGTCCACAAAGAGAAAGGGGGGAAAAAAGACAACAGTATTCCCTTTGGAGACGAGGTTGTAATTAAGCCTGAAGGAAATTACTTTTGCGAACACTGCTGGGGTTATAAAATAAGCAGAATATTAGAATAGCGGAATGAAGATGAACATGTGTTGGTTAAAAATGAGGTGGAGATCTCTGCGGGGCCTTTAACAGACATGCGTGAGCTGATTAGCACCACAAAGAAAAGGAAGCAGGTGCAAGAAACCCCTTGGAGAACGGAAAAATAGAAGACTGTGTGGATTGTTCTGCATACCTGTTGGGAAATTTAAATTAAGGCATTTGGAGTGAAGACAGAATTTAGACGTATACTAATTTACGTCCCCCAAGGTTCTGTGTGTAATAGTCTTCCTCTACTCTGACAGGTGAAAAGACCAAAACTGATTGGTGATGATTGTTGATTGGTAAAAGAAAGGGCATTTTGACTTGAAACTAATGTTCCTAATGTCCACATTTAGTAGAATTGGAGGCCTGTCCACACCGCAGATCTTTCGATGTGGTTTAGCCATTGGTCTTCACATAAATGCAATGTCAGGTCACTAAAACGAAAGCCTTTTGAAAACCCCTCGCTGCATGAATATTTTCAGAGTTTTTAGGTTGAAGTGTTATTGTGTAGCCAGTGGGAAAAAAATAATGCAAGAGAAATGCAAAAGTTTAATCACAAAAAATCATTCATTCGCTCCCTCATATAAAAATACATTATACGATGACTGGGTGGAAAAAGGAATTCATAATTTTCTAGACATATTTATTGATCAAATATTTCCTTCATTTGAGCAACTACAAAGTAAACACAATTTACCTCGATCCAATTTTTTAAAAATATTTACAGGTGCGAAACTTTGTGAAACAAAACAACCCACTGTACCCTAATTCCCCAAATCAATCATCAATGGAAATGATAATTTTGCGTGACCCTAATAAAAAGGGAGGGATTTCATTTATATATGGAATGCTCTTCCAATTAACAAACATGGCAACTTTAGAATACATAAGATCCTCCTGGGAAGCAGATTTAGAGGTTGAAATCACCAACGAGCAATGGGAGATAGCCCTTGAACAAATCCACAAATCATCGGTATGCGCAAGACATGGCCTCATACAATTTAAAGTAATACATCGTTTACATTGGTCCAGACAAAAACTTAATAAGATATTTCCAGAAGTTGACCCTGCATGTAATCGGTGTGGGCTAGAACCGGCGTCACTGGCCCA